CCGAACGTACCTTGCCAGAGTGCTCAAACTGACAAGTCAGTGAGCTCTGCATAACGCAAACAGCAAAGGCACTACCCCACGCAAGAGTGCTCAACTGCTACAAGAGCAGGAGCGAACACTATAATTATGATTCTCAACTTTGCCCAGTTTATTCATAGAAATCATGTCATCATCTCACTGCCTACCCTAACGAAATTGTTTCCACCGATCACAACAGGCCTTAGAACTAGAAGCCACTCTAATAGGCCTTGACAGATTATGCTAGCATAATGTTTCGCATAATTCCTACCAAAACCGAATAATCGCATAATTCGAGGCAAATTGCATACGAATCGCATAAAATTGGAATAATCCGCCTGTTCACATCAAATTCCATACAGTTGTACATGTTCTACAAGTACAAGTACATGTAGATGCACCAGGAAGGTGTAGGTTTACGACTCCCTTGATAACATGTCCAGTCCACTACAATCAGTGACGGTCGTAGCTAGGTCGGACGGTGCGTTGACCCCGTTGAACTTTCGCTACTACAGTACAACGCCCTCTACAAAAAAATAACCTGTTATTTTGAACAGAACCATCATACATTAGCAGCATATGTGAGAATAATGCGGCATAATAATTATGATAACTTTTAGCATAAAAATAGCATAATTCTGCAATTTTTTCAGCAATGCGAAAAGCATAATTTCACGAAAATATTAGCATAATCTGTCAAGGCCTACAATCTAATGCTTCCATTGCCATATCTAAGCACCGGACAACTGATGGAGTAAATTCTTTTTCTAATCGTGCCGCAATTTTCTTTAATACACTACCTGCCGAGTGGCGCAGACACCACCGTACCTCTACATTTGCAAACCAACTCAGGGATCTTTTTAAAGACCCAGTGGCGTTTAAGAAGTATTTTGACCTTCTTTTTGGAATCTGTTGAGTTTCTCGATGATCTTGATAGTTCTTGTACTAAGATTGAAGTTGACTTGGTGTTTGATTACTTTACTGCTTGATGTCTGAATTCCAATTTTTTCTATTTTTTTCTTTTCTTTTCCTTTCCTTTCCACTTATCCCGTTATCGGCCCTCTTAAGAGTTGTGTGTATCACTGTTGAGGCATCCGATGGTAAATAAAATAAATACTACTACTACTAAGGCCAAACGGGCAATGGTGCCCAATTCTATGGAAGCGAATTTCAAATGGGAGAGAGCAACGGGGGGAGAGAGAGAGAGAGAGAGAGAGAGAGAGAGAGAGGGGGGGGAGGGAGGGAGGGAGATGATAAGCAATTTTGCAGCGTCAACAGAGCGATTTTGCAGTATCAATAGAGCGATCCAAGCACATTTCAAGCCGTCTTACTCACAGCAAGGTGATGTAACCAGTGAAACTGACTGATTTGGCTACTGGGGGCGGGGTTACAACTGGTGGCGAAGTAAAAGTCACCCCTGCATACGACAAGAGTGGGTTGCTATGCACCCACATACTGAGGCAATAGCAAAGTCACACCTTAGTGGATCCAAAATAGAAATCTGATGTCAACTTAGTACTCCCTGGCCGTTTTGACGTCATCACTTTCAAGCCCTATTATCTGCGAAAGGTGGCTGCGACTTTAGGGCTGAATTTCCACCTTTTACAGAAATTTTCAGCCGATTCTGCCCGCGGAACCTCGCGTGGCGATTGTAGTGTGGAACAGAGGGGCTTCGCGTCAGCATGCGTTTCTGACTCACGCAACGCGGACGCGAGCCGCAGTGGAACCCGGCCCTTAGTTAGTGCCCAGGTGTACAGCGAAAGACTTGCTGCTCCCTAAGCTGGCTGGGTGAGGGCCCTGGTGCGGATGAGGTTGTGAATCCATGGCCGCCAGACTTGTACTAAGTTGTAGGTAACCAGTGCCTGCTCCAGCGCCGGGTGAGCCGGGTAATCCACCGGGTTGGGTGGCGCTTGGACCCGGTTGAAAATATTATAGTACCGGGTCACCTGTAACCCGGTTGGTACTTTACACTTTAGAACTTTGAAAGGACTGACCACATGGCTTGTATGTGTCAGATACTTCTTCTTCTTTCGTAATTTTCTAATTCCTGCCCTCTCTTTTCTAAATGCGGCTTATCCATTCGCCTTTATGTCATTGGACCTAGTTCCCGTTTATTGTCCGAATTAAAATAAACCAACCGACCAGTTAAAGCATGTGCCTCGGCTGGTGAGACAGCGCCAGGTACATGTGTACCCGGTTACGACCCGGTTGAAATGGTTGCGCCAGGTACACGTGTACCCGGCTGTCCTACAATCCTAGAGCAGACACTGGTAACGTCTCTGAAACCATCGAAGCAATCGTGGAGCGCAAGGTCTCCGGAGTTATAGCTGACGTTGGTGACGCAGATGTCGCCAATGACTCGCGTTCTCTGCTTCCTGCTCCGCTCGCCGCGCTCGGGGTAGAATGGCAGGATTCAGCGTGGTGAAGTACACTGAAACAGGCGATCGGCGAGGGCAGCTTTCCTGCCCGAATTATTCAAACTGAAGAGCGAGAGTTCGCTGCGGAGACGCAGAACCGTCATGGCGCGAATTTCACTGACAGTAAAGGCAGCCATGGCTCCCGACAACAAGGATGAGAACGAGGCAAAGCACAAGGATGAGAACGAGCAAAATACAAACTGTGAAACACTGAAACAGGCGATCGGCGAGGGCAGCTTTCCTGCCCGAATTATTCAAACCCAAGAGAACTGTGAAACACAATGATCTGACAAGAGTGATCCACACACAGAACGGATCGAAATTATAATGACTAAAACACTACGAGCAAGCAAGAATGATCGTGGCACAGAACGGATCGAAAATTAATAATAGTGAGGTTTTGCATTCCGAATTTCGGTACAGCCTTCTTCGGTCATTTGTCGAACATCAAAATGTCGAATTTTCGCACCAACGTTTGTTTTGCAAGTCGAAAATGATGTGTTTTCATTTCGTGAGCCCCAGCATCAGCAACGTCCTGTCCCGTGCTCCTTTTCTTGCTGATTCCAACGAACTTTGATCGCCCAAAGAGTCGAGGGCCAAACCTGCCTCCTCAGTCGCCTCAGAAAAACCAACTGGCAACTCCATGGCCAAGTCAAATTTTATGCGTGTCGCCATAGTCTTTTCAGCCACACAGATGACGGTGAGGACACTCCCGGCGAAAGAGAGTCGACAGGCAGTGGAGAGGAGCAATCAGAGGTAGCTGACGATGCTATGTCGCCAAAGACGCCTGCCAAGCGAGGCCGAGATAAGAAACCTCTTTGAATAAATCACGCGCTAGCGCTCTTCTACAAGAAAATGCATCCGAAAAATATTTTCGGCAAAGTGAGCTTTTTCCGAACAAACACGCCGAATCTTCGTGTGCATTTTCGACCTCGCTCCCACGTGCCGAATCTTTTTGCCGAATTTCGGAATGCAAAACCTCTCTATTCTAGCAGAGCAAACTCTAGCAAGACATGCAACGATGCATCCCACCCACGTTGAGCTACAAGCAAACGTCATCATAACGCCGCCACACGCTTTCCACATCGGAGGCGAGCGACACGCATGAACTCCACACGCCGCGCGCCGCCGCACGCTTTCCACATCGGAGGCGAGCGACACACATGAACGCCGGTTACTTTAGCATGACACGTTGAGTGCCCACGACCAATGCCGCCTACGTTGAGCGTCGCGCATGAATGAATGATTATGTCCCGTTGAGTGCCACGCGCGTTGAATGACACAGTCATGCCACGACGCATAGAGTACCATGTGAGCATGCACCAAGGCGTGTGACCGACATGGATACCGTGGTGTCCAGCGCACGTGACTGTTGCCAGCAGCAAAGCATGAGCATGCATGTGCAGTAAAGCGCAGGCAATCATAGCATGCAGCATAGTTTGAGTGGTAGCACGAAGCAGCCGCGTGCACCTATTAATGTGCATTATTACTATATAAATGCTACAGTAATACATGTCAAACAAGTAACGTAGTTGCGTGATGTCTGTGGCCTTCATCCTATTCATATCACAACTTGGTGCTCTTACTAGTACAGTTTATTGGACATTTGAAACCCTTTCACTGCGGCGGTTATTACGAGTTTTCAGGCAGCTTGATGACGTAGGAACGAGGTTGCGTACATCTACTGTATAACACCTTTATTTCGGTGTAATTTAAATTTCGGTAACTTCGGTACTGGTCCTGGATCACCTAATTTAACATTACACCTAAATTTTCCGAAATACCAAAAATATGTAAAAATCATGAAAATCAGTGTCAAATTAAAAAAAATCAACTTGTATATGTACTGGTATACCGGTAGTACATTGTACATACATAACATGTACCGGTATTATGTGGAGCCTTTTGGCCTTGGCGGAGATATTAGTGCAAGAGCGTTTTTTTTTTTTTTTTTTGGTGCCATGCATACTGAATTTATCCTTACACCGAAAGGTCAGGGGTTGGCTTTTACCGAAATTTTACAACACCGAAAATAAGGTGATATACAGTACTCTCTGCTATGTAGTCACTTGAGTGAGTGAAGACTACTTTAAGATAATTAAAATTATTAAATAATTTACAATAAAAATAGAACTGTTCTTCTAGCGCTCACAACATGTACAACAATAACAAGCAGATAGCTGTACGTGTGTGTTTAGAAGATCAGCGAGAATCAGTAAAAACAGGAGACTGCAACTGTCATCGCGCGTAGGTAGGTCTACGCGGCATGGCGCCTACGTTATTACGGCTACATCATACATGCGGCTGACACAAGCAATTAATTATTTAGCAAACCATGCATGCTGATTGCATGCCAAGTGTGCAGCGCGCGCACAGCATGCCACGTCTCGACCGCTCTTGCTTATTGTGCAAAGGGTCTATTAACGAGTTACGTAGGCGCCATGCCGCGTAGACCTACCTACGCGCGATCACCGTTGCAGTCTCCTGTTTTTACTGATTCTCGCTGATCTTCAAAACACACACGTACAGCTATCTGCTTGTTATTGTTGTTTATGTTGTGAGAGCTAGAGGAACAGTTCTATTTTATTGTATTCTTTTCAAGTTGAGCATTCGTCTTCCACTCTATCGTGATAACTGGCATACTGATTAGGCAGTGCTAGTAATAGCAACATCCACTGTCTGTTTCGAGTAGTACTGTAGTCTCAGTCTGTGTCATCCGAAGAGCAGGATTGCCTTGTCGTCGTGCATACCGCAGTAGCTGCTGTCCGACACATTTTGATCAGAATGGCAAAGAAAAAACAATCCTAAAGTAAGCGTCACAAGGAGGTGGGACGTAAGCGAGAGGAGCGCTCGGCAAAGCCAGCTTTGAAACATGAGAGACAAAGCAAGAGAGAAAACTACCTGGAAGAGGACGATGTTGAATTCATCAGCTTTGCTAACCAGCTGCAGGCAAAAGGCTTGAAAATCAAGGATGTCCCGGGAGATGGGTAAGTACGCAGTGCAAATTGTGCACAATCAATGTACTACAGTGTATAGTGTGCATGGTATCCGGTACGCTGAAGCAAAACCAAGAGTAGATTTTTGTCATGGTGCAAATAATCCCTGGAAATAGCGCTGGTCTCTGTTATAATATCAGCCTATTCAATATCACCTTCTCTGATGAGCCTTATGAAGGCGAAACAGCTGTCAGGAAGAATTTCAGTATCTACCTTCCTTGTATTGCTGTTGGTGTGTGTATTGGCTACCGAGGTAGCAGTGAGTCAGCTGTGAGAGCGCATGGAGGAGAGGGGAGGAAGAGTTCTTTACATTTTATTGGCCGAATAGTACCGTTCACCATTTGAAATTGAGTAGAGTGGTTGTTGGAAAAAGAAAGGAGAGTAGATGATAGTTTCCGAACGCAGATCTACCAGTTTCGGTAGAACGTCGATTTTACTGTACGATAATATTATGATATTTTGTGGGAAACAGCTCTCATGGTCCCACAAGGACAGAAATGCCGTACCTCTACCGACTTCTACCAGCCTCAAACCTGGTAGAGCCGGTAGAGGAAAGCAGAATCTACCATTTGGTGTAGAAAAAAACCCAACACATCTACCGAATATCCATCAGTTCGAGGGAAAGTTGCAAACGGGAAAGGTCTGAAGAAAAAAGTTGACTGTCACCACCAGGACTCGAACCATGGACCCTGGCTTAAGAACATCTACCATGCTGGATAGGCCCGGGCGGACAATGCTAGTTATTTTGCGTGATAATGCCAATGGCAATGCCAGAAAAACTGTATCATAATGCTACTTATAATGCTGCTGTTCCTCTGTAATGCCAGCAATTCACCAGCAGTAAGTATGAAAAATGGCTTGGTTTGGGCAGTATTGTGCACGTTTCGTAGTTCTACGTAGACAGCATGGAAAATACTAATCATGATCATAATGCTTATTGTATGCTGCTATTGCTTCATACAATCCCTTGCACCTAGCTGTCCAGCGAGGAAAGTCTCGAGTGGAGGTCTCTCGATCTGCTCGCTCATTCGCCTGGCATTCAGTAGCACTTCATCGCCAAGGACTTCAATGCAAAACAGTTTTCACACTGCGCTTCAAGGCTTTTTCCTCGTGAACTTGCTGCAAACGTATGAGCTCTGCTGCGCGTGTTCCCTTTGTGTGAGGCCCAGAAACAGCTAGTATCTCCGTACTTCGATTGGCTGGATCGATGTCGTCCAGGTTCTCCTCACTATCGCCATCACGACTCTAACTGGACACGATTTCTTCACCATTTTCCGCAAGCAGCAGCTAGGGCAGAAATTTCGCCATCCCTGAGTGTAGCAGATGGAATCCGTTTGATCAGCTCAAAAACTCTTCGTTGTGACTAGAGGAGTAGCAGGGAATATTCTACCGGAAGCCCTTTGATTTCCTTGACTGCTGAAACCCTTCCGGCCATGACTGCTACTTGTTCAAACAAGCTAGGTTCTCTTTGGTTCCACTTCACTGCACTCGACCGTCCACGCGACACAACCTTTTTACAAAACATCATTTTTCTCAAAAAAATGATTTTCACCCTAACTATAAGTAACTAAGCCTGGTTTTCGCAGAAGTAAGGGCCATTTGAGTATAATGCCACTTTTGTGGAAATGTAGTCGGTCTTTGCTAATTCGTTTCAAATTCAATGTATCTCTTAGTTGTCGTCACCCGTCCTCTATAGTTTTACCTCGTTCTGGCGCCCATTTCCTTAAATCCCCTCTCTTCAGTTTATCTGTGCAATGGAACAAACTTCCAGAACGCATCCGCTGCGTTCAGTCCTCTGTCAATTTTCGCATTGCTCTAAAGGCTCATTACTCTCAGCATAGATATTCTCTGACTGGAATTCCGAACTTTTCCGTTTGAGAAATTTTTTTCCTTGAAATTAATCCTTGCTGGGTTTTTTTCATCTAAATGTCCCGCTATTATCTGCAGAGGTGATTTCTTCCCTCGTCGATTTCTTTCCTGCTTTTATACCTCGATATTTAGGTACTTGTTTCTTTCTTCCCATGCTTCATCTTCCACTCTCCTCTCCCCCATTTCCCCATTTTTCTTGCGATATTTATGTGGGAGACTTCCGTGATAAGCATCCATTTGCTTTTGGAGAATCCTTTTAAATAAATACAATACAAAATAGTGTTATAATGCTAGCATAGTGCCCGTTGCAAATCGCACACTATAATGCTACTTATTATGCTAGCAGTATCCGCCCAGGCCTAATGCTGGATGACATAAATGTGCCAGCATTTGAAAAAAATTGGGCCCTCTATTGTAGTATTGAATAGTGTCTTCATGTATACCCTGGTGTTGATGTGTCATCCTTGTTGTCAATACCGCTACCCGCATCAGTATACCCTGGTGTTGATGTGTCATCCTTGTTGTCAATACCGCTACCTGCATCAGTATACCCTGGTGTTGATGTTTCATCCTTGTTATCAATACCGCTACCTGCATCAGTATACCCTGGTGTTGATGTGTCATCCTTGTTGTCAATACCGCTACCTGCATCAGTATACGCTGGTGTTGATGTGTCATCCTTGTTGTCTATACCGCTACCTGCATCAGTATACTCTGGTGTTGATGTGTCATCCTTGTTGTCAATACCGCTACCTGCATCAGTATACCCTGGTGTGGATGTGTCATCCTTGTTGTCAATACCGCTACCTGCATCAGTATACGCTGGTGTTGATGTGTCATCCTTCGTATCAATACCGCTACCTGCATCAGTATACCCTGGTGTTGAAGTGTCATCCTTGTTGTCAATACCGCTACCTGCATCAGTATACCCTGGTGTTGATGTGTAATCCTTGTTGTCGATTCACATTGTTGTCACTGGTACCTTCAGGAATTGTCTGTTCCGCGCGCTGGCAGATCAATTGGACGGCGACAGGGCAAGGCACGACCAACACAGGCAAGAAACTGTCCACAACATGATTGACCACCGCCAAGTAGTGAGAGCTTTATTTCATTAGCCAATGCCTTCCTGAAGCCGTAGAGCCGTCACTTGTCAATGACCAGTAGTGGTATTAATTTTCTTACCATCGGATGCCTCAACAGTGATATACACAACTCTTAAGAGGGCTGATAACGGGATAAGTGAAAAGGAAAAGAAAAGAAAACTAGACAATATTTGATTGAGAATGCAGTGATCCATGTGGATGGTTTTTGTTATTTGCCAGGTGTGTGAGGGGTATGATGACCGTGGTCTGTTGTTGTGTGCCTGTATTGCTATGATGTCAAGCAGAAGAATGGCAAGAAGAGATGCTCCCATCCGCAGTACGGCCGAAAGAAGAAGAGCAAGCCGGCACCGGCACGGAAGAGAAAAGATTTCGCTGCGCGTGTCCTGACCCGGCTGGAGAAGGATAAAAGTGTAGGTCCATGGTTTCATTCTTTCTTTGCATTGCGTTAACCTGTGTCTCGTGGAGTGCGACGACTGGTTTGATTGCAAATGCATGTTTTAGATTTGTTTCTAACTTGATTGTTTCTTCGGAGTTGAATATCATGAGCAAGAAATCAGCTTTAGTGCAGCCCTTCACAATCAAAATCTAGATGAACAGTTATGATATTCTTCTCAAAAGCCATATTTAGCCATTTTACCCACAAAATGGCCCACATGGGAAATTTCGTAATCAATAATTTGGTCGAAATTCGCAATTGTGGGAGAATCATGCACCGTTGGGAAGGGAAAGCCGTGCATGAGACATGCTTTAGTATAGGGCTGAAATCTCGACTATTCAAATATTCGTTAATTTAGCTTTGCAGAATGAACATTTGTGAGGTAACGAATGTTAGAACTGAAATTTTTTTCCCAATATGCTCGACACAAATGTTTTATTACAATCAGCGTACAACCGTACTGAGCCATCTGACAGCGTTTCTGGGGCGATGTTGCTCTCAACGGAGAGCGAAGCAAGGTCGCTGAAGGTTGTCATGTCAATGGCGTTGGTTTCCTCCTTGAAGTATACTTTTTGCCTGTATCATGTGGCGGGTATTCATGCCCTTGTCAGAACTCTGACGATTTGCGTGAATTATCAATCAAGAACATTTGTTCGTTGGTTCGTTCGTTAGAGTCAAGAACGTTCGATTGCTGAGAAATTGTGTTCGTTTCAGTCCTACAGTTTAGGTTATCGCAATACTCTCTCTATTTACAGTGCAAGCCTGGCATTGGGTGAGGCAAGTTTGCGACGTACACACTATAAGGCTATCAGAACATACAGCTTCATCTGTGGACCACAGGTGATTGCAAATTACGACACGCTCTCTGTCGTCCTTTGATTATGAAAGGTGGCTATCGAAAACGTATGCCCTTGTATCTGAATATTAAAATGAATTTCCGCACGTAACATTCGATGTTTGAAAATGGCTTATTTTTTGTAGAGTATATTGGTGTGTCATCATGGTACTGAAGTTGGCTGCTCCAACGAGGAGCACACGCTTCTTGCCGAACTTGACACTTGACTGACTCACGATTGCCATCCGGAGCACACGTGGAGCACGTTGCACCTTCCGCTCGGCAAACCTGAAAGAAAGCACCACTGCCTGCTCAATACACAGTGTGTCAAGTTCGACAAGAAGTTTGTGCTCCTCGTTGGAGCAACCAACTTCATGACTAGTACCGCCAAAGTCGCAACTTCTAAGTTCATAATGGGATTAGTTTGTAAAATTATTGCCTTTGGGTGTTACTCTTTTATTGAAACCATTTCTTGTTGAACCTTCTACTAGTGCCTTAGTTTATGCCCCAGCTGTTACGCTGTCATCACACTACGGTACAAAGCGCTGTGTCTACATCCACATAAGGTTTTGGTCGGTTGTCATGATGATCCATGTATGAAGTGAAAGCGGGAGCAGAAGAAACGGGAAACGTAGACGTGGTGGGGAGTGGGCCACTTTTTGTATAAAAGGGTGTATCTCCCACAGTCTGTTTCCAAGCGACCTTGTACGTGCGAATCTTCAAATTTCTCCAAAACGTGACCGCGTGTACTGGTCAAGAACTGTGCCTGTTTGATGACACGACTAGCGGTTTTGGATTTTTCACTGTGGACGCAGACGTAAGGGGAAGCCAGAGAACGAAGTGTGATGGCGGCCTTACTAGCTCCTTGGGTGTTGCTGGTATTATCGCCTACGCTGATTTCTTGTATTCGTTGCTGCCAAAATTTCCTTACATTAGCTTTATTCTTGTTCCTTTTGGCCAGGCATTCTTCACCATCACGCTGATTTCTTCATAAAAGATTGCCAACCTTAAACCCATGCAGGAGGATGTGGCCGAGCAGCAAAGCAGCAATGTGATGGAGAGTCGGGATTCAATTCTTGCGTACTTTCGTAAGAATCATCTCGAGTTTACAACTTTGCTGCACGCGCAGTACGCTACACTGTGCATGCTCATCGAGCTGCAAAGCCAGTGCAATAATCGGCTACCGCTGCAATACCTGCATGGCTGAAATTATTGGAAGTCGTTTCCATTGCCCAGTGTGTGACGTAAGTTTGCATATTCCTATTGGCCACTGTATGTTTTCCAGATTTTTGTTCGTATTTTTTGTCTCAAGTTCTCTTAGTTCTTCTAGAGAAGACTGGACGTACACGATAGAATTTTTAATCCACATGACTGTAGTTTCTTCTGTACAACATGCAACACCTGCAGATTGCAGGTTCTTTACTCACCAGTAGTGTCCAGATCTGCCTCCATTCTGCATCTGATTGCTGTTTTGTACGTGTTTGTGTTTTGTACGTGTTTGTCCCTCCATATGCTAGGATTATGACCTGTGTGCTAAGTGCCATCAGGAACGCGGCCATTATCACCCGATGGAGCAACATGGTCGGCGGTGATTAAAGCTTTGAAGCCAATGAAGGTAACGGTTTTACTAAAATCCTTAGCCTCGCTGTTCGTGGAGCGGAACAGCAGTCTGTACTATTCAGTGGAGATGGGCTTGTTGAGGACAAGGTTATCATTTTGTTTGCTTAGATGGGCCGTCGCGTGTTTCAGAGGATGCCGTGCATCATACAGTGACAGGCGGCGGTTGAACTCGTTTGTTGCCCAGTGTCGCCAGACTGAGTAGGCCCATGGCGGTAAATTGTGTACTGGGTGTTTTCTTGCTCTCTGTTCTTTGCGTATTTTCATTGTAGGCGTTTATACCTTTCGTATCTGGACAGTGTCCATTTCTTCCGGCCAAAGCAGTTGCGTACTCAAGTGTATTATGAGCTGCTTATCGCCTATAAGGACTATGTAGCAAAGCGAGGCTTTGTCGCTGTTAACCTTTGGGCATGCCCTCCTGGGAAAAACCAAGACTATATTTTCAACTGTCATCCACCTGGGCAAAGGATACTCACACAACAGCTTCTAAAACCGTGGTACAAGACAAAGCTGGACAGTGCAGTTGCTCGAAAAGTTGTTATCAAGTTTCGCGTAAGTGCTCTAAATCAACTCATTTTCGCTGGCAATTTTATTTCGCTGATTCCGCCGCTTGGTGCCAATTGGCCAAAGTTAACCGCAGGCCAAAATTTGTCATCGAGGCAAATGATGCATAATTCAGCCATGGCTGCACGTGAGGGCAACAACTATTAAACGATCTTTTCTAAATCGGCCAAAGTTTCTCACCGGCCAAAATTTGTTGATTTCCAGAGTAGCAAGAGTAGTTACCTGCCACCGATACCTCATCCAAAGGGTATCAAACAACATGGGAGTACATACAGATTATCCAAGTGTAACGAAAGGGTATCCAACGCACACATGTATAAATGTACACTACATAGTACCTTCCGTTACAATTTGAAACTTCATGACAATTTGAATCAACTTCATGACATCTTTCTAATGCTTCTGATCTGTGAATCTATGTGAATGAGCATGCAGACATTTGTATGGATAAGTAGTAATTCCGCACGGTACATTTCAAACAAGGATATTGTACTATACTGTTCAAACTAGCTACACGCCGTACTGCTCTAGCTTATAGGTTGTTCTCCGATAAATCGACTGTTAGCGTAGCAGTTAACCGTTAAGGTGAAAACCGTAGCCGTTTGATCCCTATTGTTATACTGGCAATCTAATGTTGTTTATCCTTTCTCACTTTTTTGATCTTTCAGGATATTCACCAGTCTACACTTCAAGATCAAGTCAGCGTACCGACCGGTATGCATACTTTGAGGGTGATTCCTGGCCTAAAGTGTGTGAGAAGATCGCCAAGGAGGAAAAAGCGGAGAAGATCGCAGCTGAGGCCGAGGTATGTATTATCTTCTGTGTAGAGCAGGACTGATGGTTTACATCTCTCTCTCGAATTCAACTCCATCTCAAACATTTTACCACTGGTTGGATGGCATTTGGGTACCAGCCGCTGTTCGTCTTATGGTTGTTGGCAATTTGTCTTTTTTCAATGCCGCTGAGGTGATGGAGTGCATGGGATGAAGGTGACAAATTCGGCGATAGTTATAAGAAAGTTCGTTGCTCTCAATTTTCGAACTTGCACCTTTCCCACTTTTCCATTCAGCGGACTCATTATGTTTTTACAGAAAAGTGGGAAAGATGCAAGCTCGAACATTGAGAGCAACGAACTTTCATATAATTATCGCCGAATTTGTTACTAAAAAATCCGTTTCTTAAGTTATGCAAAACAACAATGTGATGACAGCCATTCCTCAACTTGCACTGCTCTGCACTCCAACTTCTTTGTATTATTACTCAACGTTCTTTCATCTTGATCAAATCTTAAAGGTTCGGACTAGATTAGGAGGAGGCTGCCTGAGGGTCAATACTTACATTAAGGATACAGTAGTGATTCTGAAATACTTGCCATTGAAATATTACCTCATCAATACCATAGCAAGGGGCTCTAAGCTGCTCTGGAACTGGGAAGATACCTTAGGTGTCCTCGGTGTGGGAATAAGACAAACCATACGCTAGCTTAAGGCTTGGCGTCTGCCAATCCCCCGCCAAGTAGTGAGAGCTTTATTTCATTAGCCAATGCCTTCCTGAAGCCGTAGACCCGTCACTTGTCAACGACTAGTAGTAGTATTTATTTTTCTTACCATCGGATGCCTCAACAGTGATATACACAACTCTTAAGAGGGCTGATAACGGGATAAGTGAAAAGGAAAAGAAAAGAAAACTAGACAATATTTGATTGAGAATGCAGTGATCCATGTGGATGATTTTTTTTATTGGCTAGGTGTGTGAGGGGTATGATGACCGTGGTATGTTGTTGTGTGCCTGTATTGCTATGATGACCGTGGTCTGTTGTTGTCTGCCTGTATTGCTATGGTGTCAAGCAGAAGAATGGCAAGAAGGGATGCTCCCAGCCGCAGTACGGCCGAAAGAAGAAGAGCAAGCCGGCACCGGCACGGAAGAGAAAAGATTTCGCTGCGCGTGTCCTGACCCGGCTTGAGAAGGATAAAAGTGTAGGTCCATGGTTTCATTCTTTCTTTGCATTGCGTATACCTGTGTCTCGTGGAGTGCGACAACTGGTTTGATTGCAAATGCATGTTTTAGATTTGTTTCTAACTTGATTGTTTCTTCGGAGTTGAATATCATGAGCAAGAAATCAGTTTTAGTGCAGCCCTTCACAATCAAAATCAAGATGACAAGTTATGATATTCTTCTCAAAAGCCTTATTTAGCCATTTTACCCACAAAATGGCCCACATGGGAAATTTTGTAATCAATAATTTGGTCGAAATTCGCAATTGTGGGAGAATCATGCACCGTTGGGAAGGGAAAGCCGTGCATGAGACATGCTTTAGTATAGGGCTGAAATCTCGACTATTCAAATATTCGTTAATTTAGCTTTGCAGAATGAACATTTGTGAGGTAACGAATGTTAGAACTGAAATTTTTTCCCAATATTCTCGACACAAATGTTTTATTACAATCAGCGTGCAACCTTACGGAGCCATCCGACAGCGTTTCTGGGGCGATGTTGCTCTCAACGGAGAGCGAAGCAAGGTCGCTGAAGGTTTTTATGTCAATGGCGTTGGTTTCCTCCCTGAAGCATACTTTTTTGCCTGTATCATGTGGCGGGGTATTCATGCCCTTGTCAGAACTCTGACGATTTGCATGAATTATCAATCAAGAACATTTGTTCGTTGGTTCTTTCGTTAGAGTCAAGAACGTTCGATTGCTGAGAAATTGTGTTCGTTTCAGTCCTACAGTTTAGGTTGTCGCAATACTCTCTCTATTTACAGTGCAAGCCTGGCATTGGGTGAGGAAAGTTTGCGACGTACACACTGTAAGCATATCAGAATATACAGCCCCATTTGTGGGACACAGGTGATTGCAAATTATGACACTCTCTCTGTCGTCCTTTGATTATGCGAGGTGGCTATCGAAAACGTATGCCCTTGTATCTGAATATTAAAATGAATTTCCGCTCGTAACATTCGATGTTTAAAAGTGACTTATTTTTGTAGAGTATAATGGTGTGTCATAATGGTACTAAAGTTGGCTGCTCCAACGAGGAGCACACGCTTCTTGCCGAACTTGACTGACTCACGATTGCCATCCGGAGCACACGAGGAGCACGTAGCACCTTCCGCTCGGCAAACCTGAAAGAAAGCACCACTGCCTGCTCAATACACAGTGTGTCAAGTTCGACAAGAAGTTTGTGCTCCTCGTTGGAGCAACCAACTTCATGACTAGTACCGCCAAAGTCGCAACTTCTAAGTTCATAATGGTATTAGTTTGTAAAATTATTGCCTTCGGGTGTTACTCTTTTATTGAAACCATTTCTTGTTGAACCTTCTACTAGTATCTTAGTTTATGCCCCAGCTGTTACGCTGTCATCACACTACGGTACAAAGCGCTGTGTCTACATCCACATAAGGTTTTGGTCGGTTGTCATGATGATCCATGTATGAAGTGAAAGCGGGAGCAGAAGAAACGGGAAACGTAGACGTGGTAGGGAGTGGGCCACTTTTTTGTATAAAAGGGTGTATCTCCCACGGTCTGTTTCCAGGCCACCTTGTACGTGCGAATCTTCAAATTTCTCCAAAACGTGACCGCGTGTACTGGTCAAGAACTGTGCCTGTTTGATGACACGACTACCCGTTTTGGATTTTTCACTGTGGACGCAGACGTAAGGGGAAGCCAGAGAACGAAGTGTGATGACGGCCTTACTAGCTCCTTGGGTGTTGCTGGTATTATCGCCTACGCTGATTCCTTGTATTCGTTGCTGCCAAAATTTCCTTACATTAGCTTTATTCTTGTTCCTTTTGGCCAGGCATTCTTCACCATCACGCTGATTTCTTCAGAAAAGGTTGCCAACCTTAAACCCATGCAGGAGGATGTGGCCGAGCAGCAAAGCAGCAATGTGATGGAGAGTCGGGATTCAATTTTTGCGTACTTTCGTAAGAATCATCTCGAGTTTACAACTTTGCGGCTCGCGCAGTACGCTACACTGTGCATGCTCATCGAGCTGCAAAGCCAGTGCAATGTAATCGTCTACCGCTGCAATACCTGCATAGCGGAAATTATTGGAAGTCGTTTCCATTGCCCAGTGTGTGACGTAAGTTTGCATATTCATATTGGCCACTGTGTGTTTCCAGATTTTGTTTGTATTTTTTGTCTCAAGTTCTCTTAGTTCTTCTAGATTAATAGCTCCTTGGGTGTTGCTGGTGTTATCGCCTACGCTGATTTCTTGTATTCGTTGCTGGCAAAATTTCCTTACATTACCTTTATTCTTGTTCCTTTTGGCCAGGCATTCTTCACCATCACGCTGATTTCTTCAGAAAAGGTTGCCAACCTTAAACCCATGCAGGAGGATGTGTGTGAGCAGCAAAGCGGCGATGTGATGGAGAGTCGGGATTCAATTCTTGCGTACTTTCGTAAGAATCATCTCGAGTTTACAACTTTGCGGCACGCGCAGTACGCTACACTGTGCATGCTCATCGAGCTGCAAAGCCAGTGCAATGTAATCGTCTACCGCTGCAATACCTGCATAGCGGAAATTATTGGAAGTCGTTTCCATTGCCCAGTGTGTGACGTAAGTTTGCATATTCATATTGGCCACTGTGTGTTTCCAGATTTTGTTTGTATTTTTTGTCTCAAGTTCTCTTAGTTCTTCTAGATTAATAGCTCCTTGGGTGTTGCTGGTATTATCGCCTACGCTGATTTCTTGTATTCGTTGCTGCCAAATTTCCTTACATTACCTTTATTCTTGTTCCTTTTGGACAGGCATTCTTCACCATCACGCTGATTTCTTCAGAAAAGGTTGCCAACCTTAAACCCATGCAGGAGGATGTGTGTGAGCAGCAAAGCGTCAATGTGATGGAGAGTCGGGATTCAATGCTTGCGTACTTTCGTCAGAATCATCTCGAGTTTACAACTTTGCGGCACGCGCAGTACGCTACACTGTGCATGCTCATCGAGCTGCAAAGCCAGTGCA